CACATACATGCAGGCAATACACTCATACACATTAAAAAAAAAAAAAAAAAAGACAAAGAGAAAAGCCACCATACCATGCAGTAGTGGCATATCTAGAAGACACCATTCCCATGTAGGCTGAAGGCTCTGAAACAACTCGGGTCCTGGGGAGTTGGTAGAGAGGCAAATCTTGCTCCTTTCTTTGGGCCACAGCAGGAAGATCAACAAGCATGCCGGGACCTTGAACATCAGTTGGAATCATTATGCCTGAGGAATCCAGATGACAGGAAATATAAGACACAATCAAATCAGTCTTCAATCATTCAACACATAGTTATGCACACCTACTATGGATGGCCACTCTTCAGGCTAGGACATGCATGACATAAAAGCAAATATGTAAAGGACTAAGATGGGTAAGAAGGAAGGGGACAGGATCGCTCAGCCAAAGAGGGCTACAATTTTAAGCGTTCTAACCAGAAAAGAAATAAAACAAAAAAAAAGATATTTTATCAATATTATTATTTTATCAAAAGAACTCCCATTATGATGTTTCTAATCTTACTGGAAATCTTTCCTTTATCAATTTAAGCTATTCTGATCATAGGTTTTTTTTATTTTAGCATGTGGGCCCCAGGGATCAAACTCAGGTCATCAGGATTGGCAGCAAGCATCTTTACCTGCTGAGCCATTTTACAAGTCCAATTTTTCCAGTTTTTATCTGATCTCTATATTCAGGTTGTCATAATTTATATATTCACAACATTTTTTTGGCCAAGTTCTTATTTTAATTATTTTGTGTATGTGATATGAGTGTGCAGGTATGTGTACCTATAAACGGATATGAAGAGTAAGGCGTGTGGCTTCCTTAATCACTTCGTTTTTCTTCTTTGGGGGTTGGGGGAAGTTGAGACAGAGTCTCCCTGTAGCCCCAGATGGCCTGGAACTCACTATTTAGACCAAGCTGGTCTTGACCTCACAGAGATCCTCCTGCCTCTGCCTCCTGAGTACTGGGATCAAAGGTATGCGCCACCACTCAGGGCCCTTCAATTACTTATTGCCTTACTGCCTTGAGCTAGGGTCTCTCACAGAACACAAGGCTCACATTTTCAGTTAGGTAGGCTAGCCAGAGACCTCTTGAGATCTACCCATCTCTAGCCCCCATGCTGGGATTACTAACAAGTACAAGCAGCCATGCCCAGCATTTTACATGGATATTGGGGATCTGAAGTCTGTCCTCATCTTTGCAGAAAAGCATTTACCCACTGAGCTATCTCCTTACTTCCTTATTTTTTAATAAGTAAAATTAAATTGTACTATTTTAAAAAATATTAGTAACTTGAGAATTTCATACAATGTATTTTGATAAGTCAGAGCCCCCCCTTTGCCCCCACCTTACTAAGCCCCACCCCCAAATTCACATCCTGTATTATTTGTCTTTATTTTTTAAAGGCCTATCAATTCTAGTCTATGTTTCCTAAGTGCTCTTGGTGTGGTTCTATCTCTTGGTGTCACACCAGTAAAGAAAACTGACTAACCTCTCCCAGTACCTATCAATTGTCAACAGATCTTCAGCTAGGGCTGGGGTTCCTGCCCACCTACCCATCCATGCTGGCCCCTGTCTGGCTTGTCTTATACATGGCCACGATGACTGTGGGTTTATATGTGCAACTACCCTGTGGTGTCCAGACAACACAGTTTCCTTATATTCATCTTAATTATTAATTTGTTTTAAATTTAATTAATTATGGTGTGTGTCGGGGGGGGCTTTGTGTGTGTGTGTGTAGGTCAGAGGACAACTTCCAGGAGTCATTCTCTACTACCTTGGTGAGGCAGGGTCTCCCTTGTTTCTGCTGCCAGGAACTTCCCAGCAATTCTCTCTCCACCTTCCATCTCAACAGGAATGATAAGATTATGGATATATGCCACTGTATCTGGCTTTTATGCAGGTTCCTGGAATCAAACTCAGGTCTATCGGGCTTGGACAGCAAGTGCTTTCATTCACTGAACCATCTTGCAGGCTAATTGTGGGGGAAGGGGGTGCTGGCAGAAATACATGTATATGTGTACATGTATACTTACCCCTGAAGGCCACAGGTTAATGTTGGGTGTCTTCCTCTACAGATCTCTGCCTTATTTACTTTGCGTATGTATATGTACATGCTGTTACAAGTGTGTGTGAGAGCCTGGAGCTTACCACTTCAGTTATTCTTAACATAGGCAGGGGCTCACTGAACCTGGAGCTCACTGCTTCAGTTATTCTGGCTTCAGGGATTTCCTGTCTCTGCCTCCCATGTGCTGGACAAACAGGTGGCTGTCATACCTACCTGGCTTTTACACAGGTTCTGGGGATTCAAACTCTGGTCCTCATGCTTGCACAGCAAGCACTTTACCTGCTGAGCCATCTGCCCAGCCCCAGCTCCTTATTCTTAATTTTGATCTCTAGACAGTTTGAGGTATACTGGTAAGGGGAGAGGAACAGCTTTGCACCTCACTTCTTATAATCCTCTCCAGGTATAGACAACATTTGACATACAACATTAATGGTATTGGAAATGTAGTTAGTTGGTAGAATGCTTGCCTAGCATTCATGAAGCCCTGAGTTTGATTCCCAGTACCACATGTACACCTATAATCCTAGCACTCAGGAAGTAGAGACAGGAGGATCAGAAATTCAAGGTGATCCTCAGCTATAGAGCAGGTGTGAGCCTGGGCTACACAAGACCTTGTCTCAAGGTAAAAAAAAAAAAAAACAAAAAAAAAACCCATATACTATGAATATTAAGCATACCATATGTGGATATGTATATATGTATGCCCATCGATACTGTTTACACATCTTCAAATGTCCAACTATAAGAAGGTAATGCCTAAGGTATGCTATGCTTTAAATGGAGGCTGTCTCCACAGGCTTATGTAGATGAACCCCTGGCCTAGCTGGTGGTACTGTTTTGGTTATAGAACCTTTAGGAGGTGAGGCCTAGCTGGAGGAAGTGGGTCACTGGGAGGCAAGATAAGAGATTTATAACCCAGCTCCATTTCCTGTCCTCTCTGATTCCTGTTCTACCCAGATTTGAGCTACTCCTGCCACCATGTCTTCCCAACCATGACGGACTATACTCCTACAAACCATAAGCCAAAATAAATCCTTTCTCCCTTGAGTTGCTTCAGCAGATACTTCATTGGAACAATAAGAAAAGTAACTGATACAAGGTACAAACATATATAGGATTCAGTACAATGATTATCTATGGCGAAGGATTCTGGCTGCATTTTAGTCATTTTATTGTTTTAAAATAGAAGGGGGGTATGGAGCTCAGTGATAGAGCACCTGCCAAGCACACATGAGGCTCTGGGTTTAAACCTCAGTAGGAAAAAAGAAAAATCAGAAGATGTGAGGATAAAGGAGGAAGCTGACAGGAGGTGGTACAGAGTTTTCATATGAACTACAAAACTTTTGCGAAGACACACACCAAATCGCGATTGCTTCTGTGACAATTTTATGTCTATTTTGTGTTAGTTGTAGTATCTTAGTGTTCTCTCCGTCTTGCCCCAGATAGCTTCCCAGAAGGCTCATTTATTTTGTTCATTTCTCTGATAAATATCATCCTACCAAAATAGCCCTGCTGGATCATCCCACATAAAAAGCAGTGGCGTCCACACCCTCTCCCCACATTGCTGCATTTCTCCTTATCATCACATCATGGCGCACACTGCATGTCACTGATGGTTTCTCTCCCAGGAGAGCAGACTTTATTTTGTTCCTTGCTCCATCCTCATGACCCACAGCAGAACCCCTATACAGAAAGCACAGCAAATGTTTTTTATTGTGTAAATACTGTATCTGTTCAATAAATTAAAAATCAGTTAAATTCAGGGCCTGGTGGTTCAAGCCTTTAATCCCAGCATTCAGGAGGCAGAGGCAGGTAGATCTCTGTAAATTCAAGGCCAACATGGTCTACACAGTGAATGCCAAGCCAACCAGGGGGTTAAAAAATGATGAATCTATTGCTTTTCTAAGTAGAAAACAAATCAAAGTTGAGTGTCAGTGTTGTTATTAAGCCAGGTATGAGCTATTTGTATCACAGTCCACTCTATAAACATAAGTATCTTCCACAGTTGTGAAAAGTGGTTCTAAGATTTTTCATAAAAACCCTCAGTGATGTGGGTCAAAACTTGGCAGTTTAAAATAGCTATGTGTTTTTCAGAAAAGGTAAACAGAGAACCTAAAATCCATGTACAAAGTACTGTGCTGGGTACTGCAATGTGTTACAGAAATCTAAGAGTTGCTTGTTGCTCTCCACTTTTTTCCAGAAAAGTAGAGCAATTAGAAATGCAGCGTGGTTGAAGAGCTGACTATAAACAGCTCTGTACAGAGTCAAGTATCATCAGGATTGGGGAAATCTAGCAGAGTCCAGCTGTGGGGCCTTCATACCTAGGGAGGACCCTGCCTTGCTATGTCACAGGTCTTACCTAAGATTAATGGGGCCAGTATCAAAGGCTCCATGAACCATAAATTAAAAGTGTTCCTCTACAATATATGTCTTTGAAATTTGTGTTCTTGAGGAAAATTTAAAATACTACAAGTTATGTGAATAAAGCGTTAGTTGAAAATTCAAAAATATGCAAGATGGATGAAACATTACAGAGTTGCCCAATAAATAGTCCAATGTTTATCCAAATGATAAGAAATATGATGTAAGTTCTTATCAAGATTATTATTGAGGGGCTGGTGAAATGGTTTAGCAGGTGAGGTGCTTGCCACCAAACCTAATGACCTGAGTTTAATCACTGGAACCTACATGGTAAAAGGAGAAACCCAGTTCCTAAAAGTTGTCCTCTGACTTCCACTCACATTGTGGCAGATGCAGGTGCACAACACACAAATAAATGTAAACAAATTTATTATCTGATTTGTATGCTTCTTGTTGATTTAAAACACAATTCTGGCAAAATTTAAGCTAGAAAAGAAAACAGACTTACTTGATGTGTTTTATTTCCCATCAAACAAACGTGAGAAGACTCAAAATCTGAAGTATTCCCTCCACAGCTAGGAGAGGAAGAAGTCAAAGCTATAAAGAAACCCTTAGCATATCCAGCACAAAGACAGATGTTAATCACTGAGGCTCTCAAAAATACACTCAGCTACCATATATGGGCACCTACTATCAGAAATATCAGAAACGCAGGCACTAATGAAAGCTAAGTGCACAAGGCCAACAAAGTTCCTTCTGTAGGATGCTAACATTGTAGTGGAGAGACAGGATGAGCACCGGGATGAATGCCCAGAGACAGTAACTTCTAGCAGCCAAAATCAAGCAACCTAGGGTACAGAAAGACATGGTCATTTCAGACAGTTGCCCAGAATCAGGATGGCAATGGAGGATCTGTTCCGCTAAAAGATGCAAGCATACTGGGTAGAGGGGGCAGCATGAGGAGGCAGCTTGTTTTGAAAAGGATGGAATTTGATGAGTATTTTGATTTGCTACCAAAAAGAAGCTCCACCACTCAGCAACACACCAAACACAGAATGGGAATGAGAAGTAGGCAAACTCTGAAACACACAACACAAACAGCAAAAGAACAGCTCTCCACTGAAGTTCCCCCCAAAACCCTACCATTCTCAAAGACCTCTGTAATAAGATGACAAAAGCCAACTTAAAACGTCTCTCCCATCTTATAACTAGACCGTTAGGATTCAGACACAAATAGCACAGCTTCCCACTTTCTACATATTTCTGCCCATTAACCAATGGGCTTCAAGCATGCTGCACACATGCTCTACTATGTCACCCCCTCAGCCTCCCACTTTCCTCTTATCTTATTTGAAACCCTCCCACCCCAATTCTCTGGGATGTCTATAACTCTAGTTCTAGTGATTTGATGCCATATTCTGACCTATGCAGGCACTGCACACACGTGGTGCACCTAAATACATGCAGGCAAAATACTCATACACATCAAATAAAAATAAAGAAATCAAGAAAAAATTTTCTAAAAAAGAATACAGGATTAGTATATCAAATGTCTTCTTTAATTCCATAACTTCATGGTGTATTTGGGGGACTTGGCTTGCCAGAAAATCAGAGCTGACTTCTTAGTAGCGGATGCCCTTCTAAATCTTTTCCTATGAATACCACCCTCATTCTTCGTACTGAACTACCTGACTAGTACATTTACTACTCTGCTGCTTTTTATCTTGTCCAGAAGCTTCAGAATCAGGTGTAATCAAGTGGTGATACACAAGCGATGGGGTGAAAGGTGCTGTCACCCTCAGGGAATGCCCAGGAGAGTTTCAGTTGCTTCCCCATTCCCAGACACTGTCGCTGCCCATCACCTCGATTCCATTCCTAGGTAAACATCAACAAACTGCCTGACTGCCCCAGTGTTGCCTGTGCGCCTCTCCTTGCTGAGCAGGTGACCATAAGTGGGAGCAGGAAACAGGCAGAAGTTATACAATGGGTTCCACTTGCTCAGCGACTTCCCTGAAGGCTGCTGCTCTACTAAGCAACACTGTTGGGCTGTTGAGCTGACGAAGGCTGGCTAAACTTCTCACTTTTGCTGCCCAGGCTGTCTGCCCACTGCCTCCTCTCTGGGCCCTTGCCAGTGCACAAATGCATAGTTCTTGCCTTTCACAGTGTTTGAAACATAGTTTACAGATCTGTTCACCATGTGCTCACAACACCAGTGGACCTATTAAAAAAATCATGTCCTTGAGGCCTGTGCAGTATGCAGTTGTTAGGCAATGGCTGTAACAGGGGCACAGAGGTTATAAAAACAGGGAGGTTAGAAAAGTTCCTCAATAACTAGAAGCTAATGGTTACAGAAGAGGAACAGGGGGAGGTTTCCAAATTACACTTGGTGAAGTGCACGAACAGAAGGCATCAAGAAAAACTCAGAATCTGAGCAAGGGATTGGGTAGCTGTGTAACTCAGCAACAGAAAGGAAAACAAAAATGAGTGAGCTGGGGTGTTGAAACATCACACATAAGCAAGATGTCAATTTCTCACTCAAGGAATACTTCTTCCACGCACACTGTGATGACACAGCCAGTGACAACAGGAGACAGGTCTGCAAAAAGGCATGTGCGTTGGCAGAAATCTGTCCAGGGCGTGCAGTGAGGGACAGGAAAATGGAGTTGCTTCTTGTTGGAATCTTGTAACAGCAAGTGTATTCCTCATTTGGGATTCATCTTGTGTGCCTTCCACTATTAATGTTCAGTTAAAGGTTTGGTTTCACAGTTCATGGAGAGCACAACACTTTAATATACAGTATTCTGTCTGTATTCTGGCTTACACTGGTGGAGCCGGGGCTTGAACTCAGCATGTGCTCTACTACACTGAGCTACATCCCCAGCCTTAAGATGCATCATTTTGGATTAATGACAGGGTCATGTACAACTTTTACATACAAGTTCTCAAAAATGACTTTTTAAATTAATCGTTGCATAAATCTAAGATGGCCTGTTACTGACAGAATGGGCAGCAAGCTACAGATTTGAAAGAGATCCCATAACTCTCAGACCTAATCTTTCACTTTGTAACTGAGGAAATGGAGAGGAAGCCAAGGGCACAGCAAATTAGCAGCTTAGTATAGAGGGGCCTGGGATTCAAGTGGGGTTCATCATTTGCTAAGCAAAGATCTCAAGAGGACAATGTAAATCAGAGTGGAATGAACTCAGTACACATGGTGCTGAGATGTGCATCAACTCCTTATCAATAGCTCCTCAGCCCACCGTGGTTAGCACCAATCCAGTCATACCTATCACAGCATTCTGGAAGGTCTCAGAACATTCCCTGTGCTTATGGTCTTTCAGAGGGGACAAATCCAAGATTAATAAATTTAGCATCAGGCCCCAAACAATATTTCCAAGAATAAGTACATAGGCCTTGCAAAGTAACTGATTAAGGTAATGTAATGGTTGAATGGTGTTTCCCCAACACCTCCCCAAGGATCTATAGGCAGTTAATGGTTGCTAGGAAAGAGACAACTATTTTCTTGATGTAGGTACTGGTAAGCTGTCCATGCTCCTGTAAATAACACCCACCCATGTTCCTATAAGTAATGCTAATGAAACTCATTGGGTCACTGGGAAAAAGACATGAAAGTAGAAGGGGGAGGAAGAGGATCCACAGGAGTGAGGGGAACAAGAGGGGGTAACTGAGGGCACTAGCATTAAAACACATTATATGCGTGGTTGCAAATGCCATAATGAAACCCATCGTGTATAATTAGTACATGGGAATAAAAAACAATAGTAAAAATATTAAATGGCACAGAAGTCTTAGAAAATGAAGACCCAAAGACCTGGGAAAGGCTTTGTTTTCATGGAGAGTGATGCAGAAGTATGATTGGAAAATTAAAAGATTTGATCTAATGGTAATAAACTGAACAGAATTTTAAAAGAAAAGGAAAAAAACAAAGATCTGGTCCCAAACAGAGACAGGACAGCTACAAAGTAGCAACAGTATGATCCATTCATTATTGTCATAAATCATGAATGAACTCAGAGAATTATAGAAATGTGGTAAATGTTAAAAAGCAGAATTCACTGGGCCTGGTGGTGCATGCTTTTAATTCCAGCACTCAGAAGGCAGAAGCAGGCAGATCTCTGTAAGATCTAGGCCAGCCTGATCTACATAGTGAGTTCCAAGCCAGCAGGAGCTACAGGGAGACCCTGTCTCAAAACAAACAAACAAACAAATAAAAAAAAATAATGAAATAAAAAGCAGAATTCTGGGGATGGAGAGATGGCTCAGTGGTTAAAAGAACCTATGCTGCTATTGCAGAGGACCCAGGTTTGGTTCCCAGCACCCATACAGCGCTAACATTCATCTGTAACTCCAGTTCCAGATCTGATGCCCTCTTCTGGCCTCCATTGGCACTGCACAACATGGGTACACTTACATACATGCAAGCAAAACATTCATAAAATAAAAATAAGTCTAAAAACAATTGAAAGTAAGTAAGAAACAGAATTGCAAAGTCTGGGGACAAAAAGTCTTATTTTTCTCCCAGCTATGAGCTTGAACAGTTTGACAGACTCATCTAATCACAGGCATTTCACAGTAACTACCCTGCCTGGCCTGCCTCACAGGAATGGCTGTTATTGCTGCATAGCCTGTGTCCACCATCAGGATGCCATCTGGAGATTTCACTGGACACAATCCTCCTCTCATGCCAAACTGTCACGTCACTTTCTACAGCTGCCTCAGTCACATGTAACAATAAGCAAAATGCCACCAAGGCGGTCTTTTCCTCCTGCCGAAAGAGTGAAGAATTATATAATCCTGAACAATGGCTCTGAGTCCCAATGTGATGACAGAACTTAAACAGTCTCATCCAGGGATGTCAATACTGCAATGATATCCAATATTTCACCATTAGATGAATAAAAATTAGTTTTTAAATCAGAGTCCTCAAAAGTACACGTGCATTAATATTCTGGAGTAACAAAGAAAGGTACAATACTTTCAAAATTCTTTAACAGAACCTGTTATTAATGTACTAAAATTGACTATAATTTATGGCTATGAAAATGTTTCATAAATATTTAAATGATAATTCTTTATTAATATTTAACAGCTCCATCCAATGAACTAGCAATTCTACTTAATAGCATTAGAGAATGTAATGTATATTGGGAAAGACTTGCTTCATGGATGGGGGCAGCTTTACTTTCCATCCATGCTACTAATACAAAGGAGAATGAGGCAGAGAGCACACAGCCCTATCAGAGCACAGACTCTGAAAAATTCAGGTTGTATTCTGAGCTAAGGTTGCTCTAAAGTAGATTAAGCAATAAACAATCTTAAATTCAAAATATCATAATGAATGAAAATGTGACAGCATAATCCATTAAATAGAAAACAAAAAGAAGGCAAATAATCTAATCTGTGTTTATAAGAAACAAAAACCACAAACCTAAGTCCAGGCTGCTGTGCGCTAGTGAATGAAGACCCTCCATATCACCAAGTCTGCCATGGTGACCATTTCCTTCAGCAGATGTTACGTGTGGTCGGGAATCAAGGCCAAACATTTCTTTCATCTTGAGAGGAAGAAAAATAGGAATGCAGTAGTAGTTAAGAAGCAATTAGGAACACTGCAGTGTTGTTCAAGCAAGATAGTAACAGTGAAAACTAGGGATGGAATCAGCAGCAGCAAATGCTGAAAGCCATCCAGCTGGGAAACACTGACAGGCAAGCAGGGGTAAGTGAGCATATTCCAGCACAGGAATGAAACACCTGCCTGTCAAGTCAATTGCTGATTAACAATATCATGGATACCCTGTTCCGACACCCACAACTTCCCCACGCTCTCTCAGGCTTTCCTGCTTCCCTCTAGCACTCTTGTCCTGTTTGCTTGCTGTATCTTTCTTTTCCCAGACAAGGTCTCACAATGTAGCCCAGGCTGGCTTTGAACTCTTAGTCTTCCAAGCTCTGGGTTCCAGGTAGGTGCCACGTGCCTGGCATTCTTTTGCACTTTTGCCGGCCTTGTAATCACTCAAAAGTAAAACTTAGAGGTAAGCACTGATAACTCAGTGTACTTTCCTCTTGTCTTCCTTTTATGTATATGTCTCTTATGAGTTTCTAAGTTATAATCTGCCCAAACACTAAATACTTGTGCCTTCCTCACATTCTTATGATAAATCAAAACTCCCAACAGAGTTAAATATAACTTTGAGACTGTTTAAAATGAAGGCACTTAAATCACAGCACGTGCAAAAAGATCATTTTGATCTTCGTACTGTTTCTCTCTGCAGGCACTGCACAACACAGGTGCACTTATCTACACACAGGCAATACATGCATACACATAAAATAAAAATAATAAATAAAATATTTTTAAAAAATTGAGGGGCTGGAGAGATGGCTCAGTGGTTAAGAGTACTGACTGCTCTTGCAGAGGACCTGGGTTCAATTCCCAGCATCCACATGGTGGCTACGAACCATCCTTAACTCCAGTTCCA